TGTATCTCTTGGGTTCTCTGCTAACAACTTGTCCTCCCAACAGCAGAGTTGAACCGTGGCGCCAAATAAAAATAAATCACATTTTCTGTGAAGTATCCACAGGGGCAGGCAAATGGATTGGAGAATATTGGGTTTTCTGCACAATGAACAGACAGATAAAGGGGAAAACTAATGAAAAAAAAAAAAGTATACATTTTTGTTATGTTTCATTGGAAGTCATACAGGGCGATATGTTGATGGATTGTGTGGATCTATTTTGAGCAAAATTACTTAAATTGTGATGCATAGAGTTGAAACACAGCTCTTGTTAGAACATAGTTTTGTAACAATGGTATAAAATTTTAAATGACAATTATTTAATTTATCATTTCACTATTTAGAGAGGCAAAGTGTATATTTTAGAAAAAAATCTACATGTTTAGCATTTTTTTTTGTGGATTTCATTTTGATATTTTGTACTTTTATGACCATTTTTTCTGCGTTTGTTTGTCTTTTGTCTTCTTTAATAACCCTGTTGGTGAAAACACACACTTTCAGATTGCAGTGTGACAATGACTGGAGGTCAGACCCATCTCAGGTAAACAAACCTGGTTGGTGACATTGCTGCTCTTTGTTGCCTCTGCATAAACAAACTGCAGCTGCCAGTTTGAAAAATACCAAAGGATTTAGGATTCCAATTTCTCATTCAATTGAGGAACCAAATTGGTTTGATTATTACTTTGACCTATTGTTGTGTGAAAACAAACCTCAGATCCCTTCTGGGAAAATGACAGATACTTGCTGAGGATTGTACTCACTATTGAGCCAAAACTGGTGCAGCCTGCAATGTGTTGATGTTGATGGCGAGTACCAAAGTTGCAATGTCTCAAAGGACTATTCGAAACAATCTACCTCAGTGTGAAAAGATTTTGCCCAGCATGTTAATTTTCAGTCATCACAACCAGACCTGATTACTGATTAATCAATTAAACAAAACCCATCTGCAGGTAGCGAGAGGCAACATATTATGTTTAGATTTAAAGAAGTCAAAGAACAGAGAAATAGACAGACCTGCAGGGAAAATGCAAGTAATGGTTCTAGTGAACCGTCCCAGTTTCATCATTAGCTTCGTTGACCTGACGGAACCATAAATGTTGCTCTCCATTCAAATTCCCTGAGGAGCGTGTTCATCCATCGATTCATTGACTTTACTGACAATGACCCAAAGCACACAAGCAAGTTTTCATACTAGAACCAATTCAGGAAAGAAGAAAGGACCAGAGTTCTTCCACAGTGTTGTAAATGTCACTGGTGGTCGTCCTTTCACCAGGCACGGCACAATTTGGTTTAAGAGTTTGAGTTGCTTCTTCCTTTAATAAATGAAAATCATAATTTGAAGGCATCGGGTCAAATGGAGATTTACATTTTTTTATTTCTTTGTACATTTTAATAATTAATTCATTTAATGATGGGCTCGTCTAATGAATGTCTGTCTGAATCTTCTTCTTCTGGTTTTAGTCACTTAATAAAGTGGCAGGACAGGAAATTTATCTATTCTGATGCAGTTATTAGATCTAGTATTGTTTTGAAATTGTTATTTCTGGTGTTTTGAATCATGCCAGCCAATGATACATTGCGAGATGAAAACATCTATTGCTTGATTTAAAGATACTCACTGCTCACACAATGTATAAAAGCAAACGACAGCACTGTAACCATCCATTACAGGTTATTATCTTTCATTAAAAACGATTTTTGGACTGAAAATAAATTTACTTTATTTGAATACCAAGAATATGAAGCAAATGGGTTCATGAAAAACCCATTTGGGACAAATAGCAGTATAACTATTTGTTCATTTTCAGCACTAATTCATCAAATATTAGGAGAAGCAAACCAAAGCAGAGACTTTTAAGTAATGATGGCAGTAAAAACAAGTATTATAATGGCTGGGGAAATATGCTGCTATTAAGAGTTTGATTATGAAAATTTACTTTGGTCTGAAGGGGAACTCTGTTTACTGTATAAATAGGTATTTTGGTACAATAATTGGGTTTGTTAGTATTTAGTTCGTAGCTTAATGGAAAATATTTTTTTGCGGTGTGTTTGCCTTTTTAACTACCGAGTTTTCTAAAAGTTGTGAGACCATTAACTTAGTACTTAAAAACAATGTCTGGTTTTCACTTGGCTGAAAGTATTTTTCAGATTAGGAATATGTCATTAGGAGAACAAAGGTTCAGTCTATACAGCCCAAATATGTATTCAAAGGTCACAGAGGCTGTTTTGTAACTGATAAAGATAAGCAGCTTTAATTGTTTTAATGATAAGCTGAGGTTTTAATTATTATTAATTATTATTTCACACTGTCAAATAAATACAATGTCCCTGAATGATGTGGGTTTGTTCTGCTCTACTATTACAGCCTTGACAGTTTTCAATTTAAATCTGTCTTTAAAGTGATATATCAAATAATTTTCTGGGGTTATGTGAGAAAAACATCTGGCTCTCCTTAAAGATTAGTGAGGAATGTTATTCAAGGATTAATGTGATTACTATCAAAATCTCTGCTATTTCATTCTCTAGCGATTTGTTTGACATATCTGAAGTGGCCAAAACTTTCTGAAGAGAGAAACACTTTTGAAGCAACTCACCTTGACATCATGTCAGTGTGCGTTCTTCTCCCAAAGCAGGAAGTGCCATCTATTGGCATAGATTGATCATCTGAACCTTTGAGACTGTTTTGGGAAAGTTCTTCATTTTGTCTTCATCAATACTTGTCCGTATTTTCTTTTTTAATACCTGAGATGAGTCATTTTTTGCACAAACTTCTTTCGGACTGCGCTTCCTTATCGATCCATTGGGAATCTCCTGCTGATTTTTCTGGCAAGTACTCCTCACTTTTATCTGCTGTTATACCGATCGTCTGTCTTGGAAAGGGACCCAAAGACTCATTCCTCCAAATATCCAAGTCTGTCACTCAGAACTTAGTGGCTTTTCCTTTCCTGCCTCAAAGTTAGGCTGGTTCTGACTCCTTCAACAGATAAGTAGCTGGCCCCTTTTGACAGCTTGCTTAATGAGAGCCTGAGACCGAGAGAGAGAGGAAGAGAGAGTGACTGATGTTTCCAATCAGACCTGAGGTCAACTGGATCAGAACAGATGTCGAAGGAGAGAACTTCAACCTCTCTCTTGGAGCAGATAGAAATCTTATAACTAGGCTGATTCCTTCACAAAAGGTTTTTAAACGTTTGAATATGGACGATGCAAGGATCCTCAGCTGTTTCTTTTTTAAAAAATAGTTTTTTTTATGTTTTGGAGTTATTATTGATACTGTAGTTTCACCGATGCACCAATACACAGATCTGGAGGCGGTTTGGGGTGAAGTGCCTTGCCCAGGGGAACACCGACATTTTGAAGTCAAATCTACAGCCTTTCGATCACAAGACAAACACTCTACAGAGCCACGGTTACCCCAGTTTGTGTGTGTAGTTTATCCGCGTAGATCAGTGTTTGTTTTTCTGCACCTGGTTTCCTTCGTGTCTCATTCACAGCTGTTCCAAATCCCCCTGATCAGTTTACATGTTCATATTGTAATACTGCACTTTAAATTGGGTTCTTTATTCTCTTGACTGATGTTCCAACACATAGAAGTAAAAAAAATCAAAGTGGCATAAAATTATGTACAAGTTAAAAAAATAAACTGATCACAAAACTCTTTTAATTTCAAGTACTTGCCGTAATTAACTGAAATCATTGTCTGACTTCTTAATTTACTTCTCAACACTGATGCTGAGAAAACACTGGGTACTTTTCACTCTTGTCACATAACATAATCTCTGGTTAGTGACATTTTTAATTATTTACCTCTAGATGTTTTCTAGCACCCACAGGCTGCGTGAGAAGTAGCCTTATGCATCTTTAACACAGACACTTTGTTTAGTAGAAGAACTCTGAAATAAATAATGTATGTTCATATAAATCCAATCCACGATACCAGAAATATTTGAAGGATTTTATGTACATTGGAAACTGTCCATCTCCTTTCCTAAGAAATGCAGGGAAAGTTGGAATTGTAAGTATGGTTTTAGTTAGGACAATAACTACACAATTAACAATAATAGTCAAACTATTAAATATTTAACAAGATACACTCCTCTGTACTTACTCGAGATAGTATTCTCTCACTGCTCCTTAATCTGACATCTGTTCTTAATTCATAAGTAAATGTTGACATTTTATTCTTTTTTCTCAATTGATTATTTGAATGTTTGACATGTAATGCACCAAAGCTTACATTATTTTTTGATATACTCCAATGGCTTCTACTGTCATCAGCTCACCTGTAAGTTGATTCAGTAGATTCACTTCAGTGTCTCCGAATGCAAACAAGACAATAAAATAATGCAAAGGAGTATCAGCTTGGAAAAAAGCAACCTTTTTTCCAAGCTGATACTTGGAAAAGTATTAATTTAATTTACATATGAGGAGAGATTCACAATTTTTGCACAAGCTTAGCCCTACTTGAAACATAAGCCCATATGGAAAAACCGAAACACTTGAGTTAAAACAGCACATCTGCCTTTGTTGTATAAATAAATACTGCAGGCTAATTTCTGTCCTGCTTCTTGCTCGTAATTAGATTCCTGGAAATTAGGTATCTTTTATGATTTGGTTTATGTAATTATTTCTCCCACTAATTAGCAAAATAGGGCTCTGATTTGTGCATCACGTGGCGTGGAATAATGCACAATGTTTACAACAGCCTTCATCCACACACAACACTTTGTCGTTTAAATGATGCACATGCATGTTTCGGGAGTTGTAAGTTTGAATGTTGAGCTGTGAAGCCAGATGGAGGTGTGCTTGCGTGCCTCCTTGTGGAGTGAGTGCGTCAGCACCGGAGGAGGCTCCGGAGGGATGGGTTGGCACACAGGAAAGAGGAGCACGCTATAAGAGGAGCACTAGCCGGGAGACGCGTCAAAACATTTAGTCGGGAGAGGAGGGGAGGGGGAGACACGCTGGAGAGCGCTCACAATGAAGACCTGAATTGTCTTTAATGTTTTATTTTATTTTATTTTTGTTTGTTTGTTTTTTCTTTTTTCCTTAAGCCTATGTCTTGTTTATTACAGAATGGCACCAAACTATTAGGACGCAGAGAGGATTCTGCACCTTTTCTTTAAAGTTCGGTTCCGGCGTCGCGCTCCTGGGCGCTTCTGAGTCAAATCCTGGATACGCGCGGCGGGGAGGAGGGGGGCGGAAAGTGTCAGTTTCAGCACCTGAGAGGAGGAAAGCTCCACTCTGTCTGCTTCTTCTGGGAAACCCTGCCCCAAAAACTATTCCGCCGCCTCTGATGTGAACTGCCCCGGTCCGACAAGCCTTCCCCTGCCCGCTTCAGGTGAGGAAGAAGCGCACAAATCCGCTGAGGGAAGGATCGGCGACCGACTGTGTGCTCAATATGTACCAGGGGCATTTACAGGTAAGAAGCCAGACTCTGCATGTTGTCCAGCATGACGGAGCAAACGGGCTCATTAATTCCTCCAGCCCAGTTTAAATCTAAGGCATTTTGTTCATGTCATGGAGGAAAGTTAAGACTTGTGCTTTGTGTTCTTGTTCAGACAGAGCTCAGATTTTAACTACTAATCCCCCATCAAATCAGTGGGTCGTGTATTCCGGATTGATAGTTCACAGTGCATGTCTAAAACACGTGCAGGAGCATGAAAAGGGTAAACAACGCCGTGGCATGTTTGAGATTACTTTACAGAGATATCAGTTGAGCAAGATCAGTAAGAACACAGATTTTGACGTCATCTGCTCTGACGTCAGAAATTGTAAACAGCAAAATGTGTTATGTGTCCAGAGACCCCAAGATCTAAAACCGATTAGCAAGAATCGTGACATTAAAAACTGCATTGTCATGCCTCAGCTTCTTAAGTTGAAGTCAGTCAGTTACTGTAAATATTTTAAATGATCAGCTGTTTATACGCTGATCATAATTATAATATAAAACAACACTCCAGTGTTCATTAATAAAAGCCTCCTTCAACTCCAGAAGCTTGATAATTCATAGAGAGACTCCTGCTCCTAGACAGCTGATTATGTAAAACATGCTTGCTACTGAGACACACCAAAGCATTATAGTTCATCACACTGATATAAGGGGATTAATTAAAAATGCTTTAAATGTGACCATATGTGGCATATTTCTTCATCTGAATAAAATGTTTTCCATGTTTCATTCACGCTTTGAGCGTCACACACTCTGTGTTTCCTATAACATGCATGCAAGTCGTAACGAGTCCGTACAATTTTAACATGTCAGAATCCAGTTCAGCCTTTGTGTGGAACAAATTCATCAAAAACAAATGCTAATAAAAAGTGAATGCTCTATTTATAATTAGAATGAAAACATTTGTCCTGGTGTCACGTTTGACTGTGAGTCAAATGCAGAACTGTGGGCATGCATAAAATATCAAAGCTATGTGAAGCTTTGAGTTTTTCCATCAAATCTACGCTGAATATAATTTGGAAGGAATGAGATTGTACATTTTAAGATAGTTGAGACTCTGGGCGTTGATGAAGCAATTTTTTGTTAGATTAATAATAATAAATAATATATACACTGTTTTCTGCAGGTTAGAGTGCATGCATTTAAAAAGAAGGGTTTTTCTTCAATTACAAAAATGTTCATTGCAATATCTACTTTGCATGTATATTATGCATGGAAAAAATTTAACTTTAAATGATTGCTAAACACAAAAAAATATTTATCTGAACTTGTTTCCCTTGTTTATGTGACCTCTGAATGAAAGCTTGTGGCATAAATAATTGAGAAATGTGCTTCTCTATTGCTTGGAATTTTAAATGATGTTCCTACATAGACTACCGGTGCATGACTCAGTTTTTCATAGCAAAGGCTATCAGATTTCCTTCCCAGAAGTTGCAATGCCTTGGAAGTGCATCTTTGTTGCATAGTTACCAGTTAACAAGATTTGACTGTTTGGTCATTGCAGCTCGTGATGCTTCAAGATAAGAGCGTCCGGTTTCAATCTGATTCGTTTTATACTGCTAACTCCCTCATTTTTACCACATTTACCTCATATGCAGTTCTGAATGATATGCATACAACGATCAAGAATTGGATGGATCAATTTATCCTGGCGTGAGCTCGGTCTCATGAAAGAGGCCAAACCTCCATCAAGGTTGGCTTGTGTGGATCAATTCCTCGTGTACAGCGTCATAGTTTGGCATGATCGGTGTTGCCTGGCAGAAACACAATGCTGGGCTCTTCTCCTCTATTTTTTAAGCCATTTTGTCTGCTCCAAACGCATCCGCATGCCCCTTTTATTATTGTTTTGTTGTCATGCATGTAGTCATTGTCTGCCTTCTTTAAGGGAGAAAATTAGTTACTGTATCTGGTGTTGGAATAGAGTCGTACACTTAAAGATAAGCAGTCCAAAGGTGTGGATGTCGTTCAGCCATGTTTCTCTTTGTGTGAGCCTGGAACTGGATATTCTGTGAGGCGAGCTGACTCAGCACAGCTGTTCTACTGTCAAGCAAAACAGACATATCATTGTTAGTTTGGTTGTGTGGTTTGTTTTGATGCTATTCAGAAAAAAAAAAAAAAAAAAAAAAAACCTTAAGACTCTATTTCTTCTTCTTATATATCAACCACAGCAGCTTTTCTGTGTAGGCATTCATGTTTACTGTGGATCCAATTAAGGTTGCACTGGTAGTGTTTATGTAATAGACACCCTGCCTTAATAGGAGTGATACTCTGGTGCCTTCAGATATTTGGACTGTTAAGCACAACATTATTACATAATTTGATTATCATATTCAAACTGCTGCAGGGAAGATCTTGGATGGATACAACTGCTGATAAGAAGTAGATCAAGTCTCTTAAGGTCTCAGTCACTTGCATTACTATTTTATTATGCTGCTGATTTATTTTTGCAGTTTGATCTGCCAGGTCAAACACTGTTTATATATTTTCCTCCAGTCAATTATAGTTGAACAGAACTTGTTTTTTTTGTATAGCTGCTTATTTCTGTGCTAGAGAGAGGCAATCTGGTGTGTTAATGGCTTTCTGTGTCTGTAGGGGTTCTGTTATATTAGAATGTATTTAATGTGAGCAATCAGATTTGGAAAATGTTACAGTTCTAAATGTAAAAAAAATATAAATAAAAAGCACTGAGCGAGCAGGATCTCATAACGGTTTATGAAAATATGTTTCTGACCATACTGCTGCATGGTTTCATAAATTATTGTGTTTCGGGTCATAACTTGCTACCAACCTTGTATTTCTGTGTACAGAAGGTTTCTCACAGACTTCGGATTGTGATGAGGGAGTTCTGGAAGTCTCTTTGATTTACTGAATAATTATTTTTTGAGACATTTTAAAAGACTCGACTAATTATAATGAGTTATGTGAGTTAGATTCATGTTTGGAAAGAAAACTCCATTGAAAGAACATCTTTGCTTGTTGGATGATAAGTTTCGTTTTTGAAACCAAACGTTCACATCTAATAATTTTGTCACTTAATTGTGATGGAGTCGTAACATTTAGATGAATAAATACTGGGTGATTTTCAGCAGCACAGACTGAATAGAACTTTTTGTTTGCCTATTTTTTCATCTAAAGATAAACATTAAATATCTATCCGTCGAATTAAAGTCTAGAATCTGTGAAAGCTTACAGATTTAAAGGGCTAGTGTTGCATTTATTTTAGAAACACAGTCTGTGCACAAAACACTGGCGTTGGCTGAAGAATGAAAACTGAACTGTAACTGCAGAAAACCATGACCTTTACAGCATATTTTAAATTGAACTTGATAGAGTGGTAATGGTAATAGAGTTACTGTGGTGAGGAGAAGTTGAAAGGTTAATTGAAATAGAGCCATGCAGAGTGAAGCCAATCCTATGGGAGCCAGATTAAAAACCTACATGCAGCTGGAAGCAAATAAGCCGCAATTCATTTTGAGGTTCTTTGAATGTTCTCTCAGCTTTGTGTAATAATACCTTAAAATAAACAACTCTGAACTTCCCAGTTCTGTTATTTACATGATGAGTTTAAACAGACCACAGCTGTCCCTGGTGTGCCATAAACTGCACTTGATTACCTGGTAAATATGTAAGCAGAGGAACTTTTGGGACCAACCTTTGTGTTTTAATGCAGGAATATTTATTCTTAAAGTTGAAAGAGTGGCGCTAGCAGTATTTTAATATCTGTGTCCATTACCACACACTGACTCAGTCGGTGCGCACACATGCATTTGTCGTTGTTGGGGGACTTGTTATTGATTACATATGCCTTTCCCTTTACATTGAGCTTGACTATATCACATTCTTCTTTGCTTTAATTGTAGCAATAAAATCAGATTCTTAATGTCTTATTGATCTGAGGTGCTCCTACGTTGCTGTTTGTGTGTACAGGAGTTGTTTGAAGGCATAGAGGGAGCGTTTACACAGCAGAAACAATCAGCTACAGCTTAATGAAGTCACTTCTGTCTCTTAATTACATGAGAACATTTTACTGTCTGATTATTTAAACTAAATCAGGGTTTTACCAAAAAGAAACACTACAGTCTTGTAGTAATTTTAAGGTGTCTGACATGAAAAATATGGAGTCATTGGTAAAACCTTCACATTTGCTTTGCTTGTAAATAATAGCAGCATAAATGAGAATTTGGCCACATTAAAACACAGTTTGTGTGAGCAAACAGACAGACCAGGGCAAAATTAAACACATGGAAAACAGATGTATTATAGTCATGAAGTTCTTCAACATGCATCAGAAGTTAATGCAAACATGACGGCTGTGAAAAGTTTATGAAAGATGGTTGTCATTAATTTGCTACACAGCTACAAATTATTTGAGAGTGGAGCTCCAGTCTTCTCCAACTTGAGGTTGTTTAGATGGGTAAGATACTAACATTATCCTGCAATCCATTTTTAATTAATAATTAGCAAATCCAACATGGTGTCTGTGTATGAGGGCAATATGTTGCAGAAAATGTAGTGTGATAGACTCTTTGCCATGTGAAACTAATCCCCCATTTAGATCTTGTTTTCACACTAACATCCAAAGAAATGATGGGATTAAAAGGATAGGATCAGACCTCCTGGTGCATCCTGGTGCCATGTATTTGAGTTCAAATGGCGTCATATTAAATGAAGCACTCTTCTTCAGTGCAACATTATCAATTCTAATACAACTTGGAAACCGTTAATAAAACACTAGTGTTCAGAAAACACTATAATTACTCAACTGAATGTCAAGGAATTGATTTAGTCTAAACTGAGACACAAAGACAAAGCCTGTGTTTTAAAAATGATCTAATTAATGTGTAGGACAACATTTCACTGCTTAGCACATCACCATCTCTGCTGGAGAATCTCCTCTGGGTACGTTTCTGCTTCACACCCGTTACCACCGCTGCCCTGCGAGCCCCCATGTGGAGAGTCCCCCTGAGCTA